AGTTATCAGTTTTCAGTTTCTCAGTTATCGGTTAGATTTACACGTGCGAATATGCAAATTAAGTTCATGGTCCCTTACGTCATGAAAATAACAGGGTCTGGGGGGGGGGGGGGGGTCCCAGTATCAGTTAACAGCTAAATTCTATCATTTTTCTCAGTCATCAGTTAGATTTTTCGATTCTCAGTTAAGTCAAACATTAATAATTAATTCTTATGTTTAATAAATAATAAACAACTGGTGAAGTCTATTTTAATGTACTTTTTACCTCAAATTCACATGTGAAATATGTTTAAAAAGGATACTTATTAATTTGTCTCCAATCACTTCCGGTAAGTCAATACTACAATCCTATTGATGTATTAGGGTGGAGCTGGGTCTTATTAGTTGTTTCAGCAGAGTTGTTTCGATCGGATCTGAAAACAGTGCGAATACCATGGTCTTGAAGGCATCTACGCAAAGTTTGGGATACACCATCTACATATGGTAGTAAMACTGTTGTTCTGTAGGCTGGTTGGTCTTGTTGGCTGGCTGGTCTCGTTTTAGTGACTTTCTGCAAGACATCTATCGCAAGACATTTTAGAGATATTTATTTGCAGACTTTTTCACGATATATCGCTTGGCATGCTGAAATTTTGCAGTGAAATGTCCCAAAACGTGAAACAACTTTTTAGTCTGTGAAAAAAGGTTAAACTAGGCATGATAGGCAAACATGATCATAAATCCATTCGTAGGAATGCTCGTACGAACGGGTCACGCAAGCTGGATTAACGGTCAGCTCATCGTCTTCAGCGCGTGTCTCTTCATCTGAGTCAAATTCATATTCGTCAATATTTGCCCAGTATTTAAAAACTGCCACACTATTGTCATTGACAAATGTTATTGGTATAGACATAGCCTTTGCTGGTGCTATCACTATTCATACTGACCAAAGCGTCCAGCAAATCGACGAAAAGTGGAAAGTGATCAAGGTCAACTCTATTACATCAACAAAAAATACGCAATATGATGGTGAATGGCCTCAAATAGCTTTTGAATAAAAAAACAATCACATTTTAAAAAAATCTATGAATCAAGAATAAACAGTTATCAGTTATCTCGTCGATCTCAGTTTATATCAGCTATAAAATGCGGAATTCTCAGTTAACCCCATTCAGACCCTGATATATACTTTAGGCCTAAATGCAGACAACCCGATAATAAAGTTCATATGATACAATCAAAATTCATTGAATGACTTTTACTTACCAAAACATAGGGACTATAACGGAGTTCGTAATGCATACGAATCGATCTAAAGGAGACGAAGCAAAGTTTTATCTCTGAAATTATTATCTCTGAAATTATTATCTCTGAAATTATTATCTCTGAAATTATTATCTCTGAAATTATTATCTCTGAAATTATTATCTCTGAAATTGTTATTTCTGAAATCTGAAGTTTCTTCTCGGCTTTCGTACAAAAGGACTAAAGAGGCTAACAAATTTGCACTAACTTTATTCAAAGCTAAAAAAAGGACTTAAAACAATCAAATAAGCTCAAACAAACTGTTTTGATTGGCAAAGTCGGTGAGTTCGCCTGTGTTGCAATTGAAAGCCGCGTTTGTCACTTCAATTAAAATTTTTCCTMATTTTAAATGTGTCTTTTGTCTTCTATTTTTATCTTTTTTTGAAAGAATCACTGTGTATTTATACTAAAACAATTATTTGCCTCAGCCCTCCTCGCGTCTTGGTAAATATTCCCCGATATTCACTTCGCCTTCAGTGAATAATTGTTAAATAATCCATCATTTAGGAAAACAGTTTTCTTCTTTTACCCCGGCCAAGCAACTATCAATAAACTTGTAATTAAGACAAGAACGCTAGTGCAAAGTTCTTATCGTTTGTACTCTATGATGTTGACTTTCCCAAGTTTATTGATTTTATTTTCGTTTCGATTAATGTCTCTTTACCTCATCGGTTGGTGTTCCTCAATCCTGTGTCTTTCTATTGCTACAATCCTGGTAAAGCAATAACCAAATATATCCACATCAAATAACAACACGGAAATACAAGTATTTGTTATCATTATTAGTTTTTCTCACCCTTCTTCTGTAGCCACCAAAGCTGTTTCTTTAGTGACCTCAATATTTCCAAACCTCGCTTTCTCTTCTCGGACTGCGACAACAGCGGCTCCACTCATTGTTATTTTAGAAGTTTTAGTTAAGTTGGGGTACAATTATTTCAAATTCGCTTTGCGAAGGAATCCTCAGTTACAGGTCAAAGATAACATTAGCTTCCGCCGTCCGCAGACAGATCACGTGAGCCTTTATACCCGACACATTAAAAACTAGTTTGCATGCATGCATTCACTGTTGCTCGTTGCTAGCATTCAAGGCTGCCCTCAAATTTTTCTAGAATATAAAATTCATGTGTTAATTCCAGTGAAGGTTCATAGGATTTCCAATGCAGTGCAATATAATAGTGCTTCATTCAGGTTGTAAATAATGGCACACAATAATATACTAAAAGCGAAAACGGAAACCATTAAATCCAAGGGAAAAAAATTATTCCAGGAAACTGAAAAAGTTAGAAAACATTTATGCATATTTTGAAAAGACTAAAACAAACATGGCTTTCTTTATTTAAAAATTATTGTAGAAGTGGAACTCTTATTATAACGGTGCCGTCAAGACTAAAAGTACTTTAAAAAACGGTGACGTGTAATGCTGAAGTCGGTATACGTATTTTTGTGAGACAAAAGAATTAAGGTTTAATACTGATTCTTAATAGATATGGAGCTCTACTAAAACAATTTAAAACAAATCGTGAGCTTAGCCAAAAATTTGGCTATTACAGTGCAAAGTTAGAGTACAAAGTGTTGCAGTCAAAACGGCTCAAGTTAAGCTCATCCTCCTAGATCCATTTATGATTTCATTATTCGAATATTTAAATCTATTATTCTTTCTGAGAAATACGAAGAATCAGGATTCAAAAATAATGACCAATTCAAAACTCAAAACCAATTCTGATTGGATTTTGGTGTTCCTTATTTGGAATAATATAATCAAAATTCGAGTTTTGAACCGGTTATTATTTTGAGTCCTGACTCTTCGTATTCTCGGAAATACAAAAAATTAAACCATTGTTGGACTCTAGGGGGGTAAGCTTGAGCCGCTTTGACTGTAATTCGTAAAAATGCGCTAGTCGCTTGAAAGCCCCGACTGCCGGGACAGGACAAGAACTAAGGCGTCAAAACCAGGAATTTAACGCGCAATCTTTTTTCAAGCACAAGGGCAAAGTGCTAAATTTACGATGGAAGACTAGGGTGGTAAAACACCCATTGTCCATGCATGTCTCGCGGCCATAGACTTTATGGAGTCGGGGGAGTCGGGGCATGAAAGTTCCATTTGATTAGTGCACATTCCGAAGCTATTTCGTACCTAGAGCCTGCTTTTCTTCTGGCCTGCGGTTTTCTTGGACTTCCGGTTAAGAGCGCATGCGTTCAAAGAATTGCCAAATATAAAAAGATATGTTCTCGATTTCTATTTTTTATTTTGATCGGAAGTAAACACAAAACTCTGTTTTAAAGTAAGATTTTCATTGATTATATTTCATTTGATTAAAATACACAACTTGTGTAATTTTAGTGCACGAGTAACGAGTTTTCACCACCAAAATAAATAGCTAAAAGACAGACTAAAACGCATCGGACGACAAAA